TCTGTGAATAACTCCAGTCTGGTTCTTCTAGGTTTCTTGTTGATGAAGGGCTTCTTCATTGTTTTTATGGGACATAAATATAATATAATATATGGCACATAAATATAATATAGTGTTCTTTGGAGTGAATAACATCTAGAGTAACAATGGATTTTTTGCAAACTTGCCATAAAAAATTACATATATGCTGATAAAGGTGTTATAACGGTAACTTATTCTTTAAATATAATACTATGTTTAAAGGTGTAAAATAAATGATAATCTAAGATCTTCATATTCCTAAGAATATTTCTGGTAAAAACACAATGTATATTTAAAAAAGCTTAAAAGATTATGGTTAAAAATGCCAATAAATGCCATTACCTGGTCTCTGTGAGTCTGAAGGGTTTCTGTTTTTCTGTCCCTGTTAAAATGATTCTCTGTGTCTCTGACAGTGACAGTATCTACTTTAATGAACAGAATGTTCTGGAATCCCTCTGGGCATACACAGAACTATGTATGTAAAACAGAAAACACATGTTGCATATTTGTTCTGCTCACTTTGTTCTCCTTTCTGGTTCTTTCAGGAGGTGAAAAAATATTTGCATGCTTGACTAACTGAAAGTGAAGGGGTGTCTGAAAGGACTATAGGTTAAAGAAGAATTCAAAACACTTTTTGTTCAGTGTATTGTAACAGGGAAAGCCAATTTTACACTGTTGTTCTTATTGTATACTGACAAGTCAAGAAATACAAATTAAAACCACAAAAGGACCTTATTTCCTCTGTATTCCGGTGCTAAATGTCCATCCATTATCTAAACCGCTTTATCCATCTGGGTCGCGGGGAAACTGGAGCCAATCCGGTGCTAAATGTATTCATTTATAATAAATGTTTATGGACAAACACATTTTCTAACATCTACCTCATATTATTTGTAAAATGCAAGGACTTTGTTGCAGAGGAACAGGTTTTTAAACTCTGGCTGAGATGTTTTATTAATGTTTCAAGCACCAGTGAGGTTTTTGTTCACAGCAGAGCTTTTGGCTTACAGAAGGTTTATTTACAGGCTGCAGGTTATCCATCCATTTTCCACACCCTCCTGTCCTGTGCAGAGCTACTGGGGTCCAGTGTCTATCCCAGAAGCTAAAGACACAAGGCAGGAAATAACCCAGGATGGGAGGCCAACCCATTGCAAGGTGCATAGACACACATGAAATTTTGCAACTCCAATTCGCTTTCTTTTGGACTGTGGAGAGACAAGGGAGATCACGGAGGAAACCCCAACAGACAGGGCTCATTAGGGCCACGCTAGGAAGGAAACAAAAAGGACAGATACACGGGGTGAGAGACAGACACACAATGACCAGCTGACCAATAAGGGCAAGGGGGGCACATATATACACAGATGACAAGGGACAGGTGTGGGCTGGGAACAACAAGGCACAAGTGAGGGTCATAATCACAAAGGACTCGAGGAACACGAGGAAAGGCAACCTGGGTAAAATACATATTTTTTTGCAAACTCCAGCATGGTTCTTCCCTGCTTCTCCTTGATGAAGGGCTTCTTCTTTGCTTTATGGGTCTTCAATCCTGCCTCTATGAGCCTGTTATGAACTGTCCTAGCAGTGCATTTCACACCATTTAATGTTTCTTATTCTGTTTGATGTTCACTTGAGGTCATTCTCCAATTTATGAGGCACTGCCAGGAAAGTTAATGGTCATCCTGGCATTAGAAAGTTGCTTCTGCCCTCTGTCTGGCTGGTTTTTGGTCATTGACAGTGTCTCCTGCTTCACCTTGTTCTTGTGTACTGCTATCTTAGAAACTTTGAACCTGGCCAAAACAAGGAATAAGGAGTTAGGGTACCATGAACGTTCCTTCAAAATCCCCAAATGTTCACTGGATGTCCCATGGAAGTCTCCTGAGAACGTCCTAATGACATTTAAAGGATTCCACAAAAAGGTCTAGGGGATAGGGTCAGTACCCCTCTGTCCAAGCCTTTCATGTCTCCTCCCCGTAGATGTCACTGGTCATCTTGTCCTCCCCGTTGTCAAAGTCTTCAGTGTGTTTTCCTTGCTATCCAGATGGCAGCATAGCTCAATGAGCTGAGCATGTGGTTAACTGTAAATCACTCAGTTGTGTGTTCATCTCCTGCTACCTCTGTTTTTGTATTTTGTATCAGTTTTTGTAGTGTTTTGGTGACTTGTATTCTGTTTTGGTTTTGATTTACCTGCCTTCGTTATTTTCCCAGGGTTAGACTCTGTTTCCTTTTTTGTCAGTTTCTTCATTTCCCTGTTAATCTCACAGTTCCTTAATTTAATTATTAGTTTCATCTATAGCCTGTTTTCTTGCAGCAGTCCTTGTGTGTTCAACCTGATTGCTCATTGTCCTGCACCCTCCCTGATTAGTTAATTGTCTCACTCCTCTTGCATCGTTACCCAGTTTGGTTTGTGTATTTATGTTCCTGCCTTAGTTCAGTTCCTTAGTGGGTCATTGTATTTCAGTTGTATTCCAGAATGTTAGAAGTTACCCTGTGTTGTTTTATATTTGTACCTTGTTCCCTGCCTGCCTGCCTGCCTGCCTGCCTGCTCGCTCGCTCCTTGTATTGCCTTGTTTCTGTTTCCCTTGACATTTTGTAGTATATAGTCATTGTTTTAACTATTTTGCTTTTTTACCCTTCGTGGTCTGTTTGTTTTGTAGTGTTCCCAGTTTCCTGTTTTTCTTAATAAACCCCTGTTTATTAACAGAAGTGGATCGTCCACTTCTTTCCTGCCTGCACCATGCTTCGCCCTTGTGATAGAAATTCCCGAGTTCGTGACAGTGAGGATGTTTAGAGGATGTCCTGAGTACTTTATTTTGTTAGCTGCATGGGATGTTAGTGAGTTTGGCACCTTCAGTCAAAGTGGTTACAATTCGCGGGAGACTCATAAGACCCGTAGGAGATGTTTATGAAATAATGTACTGATACGTTTCTTATTTAAAATGTGTATAATTGCACAACTGGCCACTGGTATCACTGTTTTTTATTTAATTCATTATGTTTGGTGTAAGTTTCTAACTGACGGAGTCGTATTCCCCTAGCCCTATTTTTACCATTGAATGTGTGTATTTTAGTATGCGATTTTAGTGAAGGCAAAGTTTTTCAGAAACGCCTTAGTCGTGTTGCAGCAGGACTGATTTCTTCAAAATAAATTTACTCCCAGAGTAATACATCATGTATTAACAGTGTGCTTTCACTAGAAGTGTAATAAAAATGCATTCTCTTTATGCATATATTTTTTAAAAATGCACTGACATTATGTTTTGATGTACTATTAGAAAATATATTTTGCATTTAAACATTAAGTACACTAAAGCACACTTGAATAAAAGTATATCTATAATCAAATAAAAAAAAGTGTGCTTTAGACCAATATACTGTAAGTGTACAATGGAGTACTTTCAGAAAGTATATTTTACATTTAAATTCACCGTACAATAAAAATACACTTTTGATAAGTATAATTATGTACACTTTAAAATGTTTCAGTCTATTTTAGTGTAACATATTTTATAATATCATTTGGAATTCTTGCTTAAAATACTTTAACATGCCTTTTCAGTCAGTTTTAGTGCTACCAAAAAGACTGGCCGTTGAAATTTTAATTATGCTTTTTTATTTTATTAAATGCAAATGGCATCTTTCTAATTTCTTATTTTTTTATTTAATGGATTAATAAATATGCACAAATGTTTTTTTGAATAATCGCAGCATTTGTCTTGTTTTTGTTTAATGTGTGTTCTTGCAGTGTTCAGTTCTTAGCAACTGTGTGCATCTTGTTCCTGGAAAAACTGCCAGTAGCATATAAGGTGCTGCAAATGAATAAACAAGGTATATAAATTGAAAGGGATACATAGATGACAAACAATTTCTGTCTGTTTGATGTTGTCCCAGACTTTTTTAAGGCACATTTCTATTTGTGAACATTGTTCTTATTATCAGTGAAAATATATTGCATATATAATGTACAGTAAGTGGCCTGAATTTAATTTTAGTACTGTAGTGGGTAAAAATACTCAGTAGGCAAGTGTGCAGACAAATGTCGCTCAGCGGCTGTGGTTAATTGAAGCAGCACTATTGAAAAGGGGTCTGTTAGGTGATGGTCCCTTCATACTGGTCAGCCTCCAGCATGCCCTTGCAGGTCCAGGTGCAGAGTGGATTCCCAACAGGCTGTCATATCACAGTACAATCATGTAAATGACCCACCTCATACACGCAGACATCTCTGCTGTTTTGCATTTATTTAAAAAACAAATATGAACAAAGGAGAATACAGATGTTTTACACAGAAATTCTGTGCAAATAGATGCTGTCGCATGCAAACGTACACCACAGTATCAGATTTACCTGAATTGCAAATGATGCTTATACTTGTAACCGGTGAGTGAAATGGGCTACGTCACTCACAGGTCACGTGTTGGGCTGCGGTAAACCGGCGACGGGTTTATAGGGTTACTGTGGCAGCGTTCCGCAAGTCCAAGCTTTCTGTATTGTGTGGGGCTACGTTGCGTAGGTAGATTGTTTGCGCGGTTACCATGGTAGCCTCCGTAATCAAGTTTCTGACATTACACAGCTGTTTCTTCTCTCGAAATGATACTGGTTGGCAGTATAATGATTTGTGTTTGCAGTGCAAGGTATTACAGTTTTTTTCAATCGCTAACAAGCGGTTACCCATACTTCAGATACTTTTTCCAAACACTTAACACAGACACTGTCACACCCCGCTCCGTACGATCCCGATGTGTGCCATGCCCCCCTCATTACCTCGTGTGCATCGCCGATTGTGATCACCTGTGTCCTGTTATGTCTGGCTAGTCTTTTGTATTTAGTCCGTGTCTCAGTTAGTTTCCCCAGATCCGTCATTGTAGTGTCATGTGTTGTTCCTGGTTTGCTCGTCCTATCGTCTGAATAAACCCCTGTTACTCGTCCGTCTGCCTGCTCTCGCCTGCTTCCACGGCTTGCTTGCTCCGCACCTTGACAGAATGACGGATCTCTCGAAAGACGCACCGCAGCAGGACGAAGACTTCTGGCTCGTCCTGCTGCACGAGGTGACGTATTGGCGAGAGTTGCCGGAGATCCAGGAGGACCCGGGCTTATACGCCCTGGCAGACCGGAGCTGGAACCTCTTGTTGGAAGAGGAGCGCACCGAGGAGCGCAATATGGTGGAAGTGCGCTCCCTCCTGAAACAGCTCATTAGCCGGGTAAGGGAGAAGTGGCTCCAGCAGCTCGCCTGTGCCGATGCGACTCCGCCCCCACCTACCGGTTCCGGACGCCGAAAAAAGAAGAGGCGAAGGGGAAAGGGAGAAGAAGCCGCCCCGACTATCTTCCTGGGGGCCTGCTCTCTGCTCCCCGCCTGGGATGACCCCGCCGCTACCCGCCTGACCAGCCCCCACCCGGAGAAGCCGCCTCCGATGGAGAATTATTTTTATCGGCCGGAGCGTCTGGGGCACGGCCGCATTCGTGCCGTGAAAGACTCTATTCCCCGGGTCTCCAAAGCCCTTAAAGGGGCAGCGCCTTCTCGCCCTGCGCCCATCCTGGCGCCAGTCCCGGACCTGTCTGCTCCGGACTTGCGAGCAGCGACTGCTACTGCTGCTGCCGCCGCTCTGCCCGCGGCACCGCCTGCTGCTGCTGCCGCCGCTCTGCCCGCGGCACCGCCTGCCCTGCCTGTTCTGCCTGCAGTCCCTGCAGCTGCCACCGCTCTGCCTGCGGTGGCCGCGGTTGCGCCCCCTGCTGGCCGCGTGATGGCGACGCCCGCTGGGGCGCCCCCTGCTGGCCGCGTGATGGCGACGCCCGCTGGGGCGCCCCCTGCTGGCCAGGAACTGAGGATGCCCACTGCAGCTCTGCCCGAGGTCCTGGCTTCGCCTCTGCCCCCTGCTGACCACGTGAAGGCGGCACCCCCTGCTGGCCGCACGCCCGAGGTGCCTACTGAGGCGCCCCCTGCTGGCCACGTGACGGTGACGCCCCCTGCTGGTTGCACGCCCGAGGTACCTACTGAGGCACATCCTGTTGGCCACTTGACTCTGTCATTGTTCCTTTCAAAGAGAACAGTGTAGAGCTGCTTCATCTGTACTCTGTGTTTGGACAATGCCCAAGTAATAGTTGTGAGGCTGATGCTATTGATATTGCGAATTTCAATTATTGAATTGTTTATTTGTCAGCTTATTTTTGAGCTGATGTGTTGTTTTTGAGCTGATATTATTGCAGAAGTAGAGGTTTTATACTGTAGATATAGGTTTGGAATATTGTTTTTATTGTGGTATGTTGTGTATTAGCATTTGTAAATAAGACAAATGGTGGGTATAGCTTGTCTGTTAAGAAAATGTAAGCATTGTAAAAATGTGTCGACTGACTGCATATTGTGTGAAAACGACATGAAATTTGTGAATGGTATGGCCACAACAGACCGATGCTGTGCACATTGTATTAAGAGTTTTGAAAATTTGACACTTGGTTGGACAAATGCCTGTTAGCGACTGAAAAAAACTGGAACTTATGATGTTTGGATGGTGTGGTGGCAGAGGCAACATGTGTTTTGTTTATAATAACAACCGATTCCTTTTAGACTTGTTGCGGGGTGGAAGGAGTGTATATCTGGGTTCCTACTGAAGCCCAGGTAGGATGCATGTGTATACATTGTGCATATAATTATTCTAAATTCATGTATATCATGGCTATGGTGTTGTGAACAATTTTAGCCTTTGAGTACTGGCTGGTCTAATTGGTGTGAGTCCTGAGGGTATTTAGCCTTTATCCTCTTATCTATATCTATATCTATATCGCCAGAGAACGTGGTGCTGCTGTCTTGGGGGTGTGTGGTGTGGCCTTTCCTGAACTGCATGAAGTGATCAAGGTGTGAATCAATGAGATCTCACCCTATGCTGTGGTTTGCTGTGTGACTCTGTGTGTGTTTGCTGTGTTGGACTCCCTTCCTTTTTCCTCCAGGTAACCACTCTCACTGGCTTACATATTGGCTTTGGTTTGCATATATAATTGTACTGCCAGTACTCTGGGTTTTGTAACTTAACCTGCTCCTCCTGGCTTCTGATCTGTGGTTTTAACCATGTTTAAGCATGTTTAACATCCTTCCCCTGTAATGGGTGGAGACCTCAACCCCCCCAGTGTTCCAGCCAAAGTTACACCCTTGGTCCCAGTCTGTCTCCTATAAGTCATCCTGCAGCCTCCTTCACCCACTTCTTTACAGTACTGATGGGGACTAGTAGCTGCACTGCTAGTGTGTAGTTTGGTGTAAAGTGCATCATGTTGTCATCAGAGCTGCCCAAGGTGGCAGAGCGAAGGGCTTATATGCCTCCCTCAGGCATATAGTAAGTCCAGAGTCCTGGTTCCCCTGGTGGTGCAGCCCACAGACAGATAAAAGCTGGTGAGGCTGGAGGAGAGTGAAACATGGTTGAAATCATAATCAGAATCACTTTATTTATTAAGTATGTTACACATATGAGTAATGTTTCTTGGTGACACATAACTGACATGAAATCACCAGAAAAGGCCATATAAGCAGTGAGGTGGTCAGTGGTTAGTTTGCTAACCACAGAATGTATTTTCTCCTTGTCTACTGCAGCGTCTGAGGATGGGGGTACGTACACGACCAAAACAATGGTGTAGAAAAACTCCCCCGGTATGTAATATGGCAGAAATCTCACAGTGAGAAGCTCCACGTTTGGGTCAGAAACATGTGCTTTTATTGTAATTTGTAATTTGTTCAGGGTTGACTCCATTTCTCATTTACAGAAACAACGATTCTACTTCCCCTCTTCTTATCGCTTTTGCTCACAAATGTATTTAAAAAGATAAAAAAAAAACATAAACTTGAGATCCATAGAAAAGAGAAAAACAAAGAAACACATGTATACTGTGCCATGATTGCTTGTAATCAGAGAAATGCAATGAAAAATTTGCAAAGCCTATCAGCATGACCTCAGTAGATACCTTCATTTTCCCTTTCCCCCACTGGGTTTGTTTTACTGTGATGTGGCTCTGCTGAGGTGAAGTCTTACATTAGCCTAAGCTGCCTTTTACTGTGCATCAGGGTGTGAAGGTTGTGAAGTAGTGAAGGTTTCTCCCAGGATGTATTACTCTTGATAGACACACAGTAATGAGTCAGGTCCACAGTCCTATGGGCAGCCTGTCATTTCTTATTCATCCACATGGAATCCCATACTGCTCTCCTGAGGAGACTGACAATCTTTTTCATAATGGATTCAGTTTTATATTCATAGGTTGTTACTAACCTTTACAACTGCAAGCATGGTTGTCATATTTAACGAATGTGAATGACAAATCCTTTCCTTGATTACTGTAGTCTATTATTTATTTTATTTGGCTGTCCAAACTGATAAATCTGCCTCCATCTTCTACAAAAATAAGTGAACCCATATTGCGTGAACGTGCTTATCACCAGTTAACAGGATGACCACTTAAACCATAACAGCGGGCTTGTCATTGCTGGCATCTGGTAATAGCTAGCTAGCTACTTTACATTACAAAAAGAGCGTTCTTTACAAAATATGGATATAAGAAGGTTTCTTTTTAAAAAAAAAAAAAAGGCGAGGCTCGAGGACATGGAGGTTGAGTTATCTTCAGAATGACCCATTCTTCCACAAATGTTTGTAAACATGACTCCATGGCTACGTGTTTGATTTTTATACATTTGGGGCAATGGGTCTGAATAAGACACCCAAATTCAATGATTGAGGTGTGTCCCGATACATTTGTTCTTATGATGTAGCTAAAACAGAAACAAATTAATTAAAAGCAGGTGTGTCCAGACTTTTGACTAGAACAGTACACAGCAAATGTGCCAGTGTTAAATTAACACTGCATGGTGTCTATATGTGACCACACCATTCAGTGCTACCTTTAACACTTTTCAGTGTGCAATGAGTGTTTTACAGTGTTAATATTTATTAACTCTTATAGTGTTCAATTTACAACATAGAGTGTTAGGACAATGTGTCTCCACCTCTTCCCAAATTGGAAGCCCATATGGGTCGCACACAAGTACAAAAGGGGTTGCCCATATCTGCCCTATTTTAATGCACTCTCATTTGAACTCATCACTGAATGATGTGGTCACATATAGACACCATGCAGTGTTAATTTTACACTGGCACATTTGCTGTGTAGAATGGTTCCTTATTCTCCAAGTGAGATCCACCTGATTTCCACGTTCAGTGGAATGACATCTAAAACTCCACATGGATTCCACATTCATTTAGAACAGGATCCACCACTTCACCAAATATCCACCAAAAATCCACGTGGATTACACGTGTTGTGCCCGCTGGGCCGTCACAGGTTGGAAAATAAGTGACAGAGTCCAGATAAACACAAATCCACATTGTAGGCGAGGACTTGGACAACTTATAAACGTCCAGTGGGCAGAACCAGGGAAGGCTCAATAACCCGAACATAACAGGTGGGCTAATACTAGTCTGTGCACACCCACCCACGCAGGAGTCTCAGCTAAAACATCGGTTTTGTAGAAAATAAAATAAGTAAAAATTGAGAAAATAACTCTCCCACACAGCAAATTTGCCAATGTTAAATTAACACTGCATGATGATAATTCTCACCAAATCAGTGTTACATTTACAGTTTTTTTCAATCGCTAACAAGCGCTTACCCATACTTCAGATACTTTTTCTAAACTCTTAACACAGACTCACACCTACAAAACACAATTGGCCAAATGGATCATTTTCTTCTCAAAAATACATTTTGTTAAATATATACTAACTCTTCATTTCGAAATAGAACTCTCTGCACACACTAACTTTACAAAAACACTATAAATCTGA